GTGTCCTGAGTGCTGGCTGGGCCACTCTGAGGGCACCATTAATGCCCATCCCGCCCAGGTGTGGCTTTGTCTCTGCCCCAGGCCCTCCGCCTCCACCCGGGCAGGGGGCCTGGCCCACAGTCAGGCTGATTACGGGAATTGCCCCTCTTTAAAGTACCTGCCTTCTCCTTTGAAAGTATTACTGACAGCTTTTTTCATTTTCTTTTTTCTTTACCTCTTTAAGGAACCCTGTAATTTCTCTCTTTCTTTCTCTCTCCCCTCCTCTTTCCTTTTTCTTTCTTGTCCCCTCTGTCCCCCTGAACTCTTTGAAATTGGCTCTCTGCCTGCTGACACCAAACTGATACTTTGCGTTTCACTTCTCCTTATCCCTTTATGGCAACAGATGTTGAAATTTTGTATCCTTTTATCTGCCCGGCTGTCCCTTCCTGTAATTACGGTCCCCTTGTTAGCAGTACAAAGTGGGCTGCCCGGCTGCCTGGCCTTTGAGCCATTGTGTCTGAACACGTGTGCGCGGGTGGGTGCTGGGGGTCGTGCACGCGTACACACATGCATGTGAGAGGCTGTGTGCTTGGGGAGGGCCCTTCCTCTCACCTGGTGAGGCAGGACCGGCGAAGCTTCCGTGGGCAGCTTGTCTCCACCACTTCATGGTTACTTTGGGACCTTTCTGCCTCCTTGATTCTCTTGGTCTCCCCACCAGAGGGCTGGACTATGACAACCACTCCCTGTTGAAAAACCGTGTGGCTCTGCCACTCGTGGAGTTAATGCCAGCTGAGCAGTGTGCCCATCATGGTCTGGAAGCCAGACCATGCTCCCCTCACATACCCAAGCCTCCAGCCAAACCAGATTGCCAATCAGGTGCCCCAGATGTGCACTTTTGTTGTTGCTGGTCCTTCACCTGGACCATCCCCCTTCCCCTGTCATTGCCTGTCACAATCCTATCACTCACTGAAGAATTGCTCAATACCCACAGCCAAAAATGTTCTCTTATCTGTGTCCTTATAAATCTTTCATCTCTCTTCTGGTACTCACCAGGTCATACCTTGTATTGTTAGTTGGATACATGACAGATTTCTCCTCACTGGATTGAAAACTCCTTGAGGACAGGGACAATGTTCCCTGCAGTTTCTGTTAAGCACAATGCTTTGTGTACAAAAGGTGTTCAATAAATGGTTGTTGATCAAAGAAAGAGAAGGAAGGAGAAGGAGGAAGGAAGAAAGGGAGGGAGGGAGGGAAGGAAGGAAAGAAGGAAGGAAGGGAGGGAGGGAGGGAGGAAAAAACCTCCCATTTTCTTAGCAACTGTGTTGGGCTCAGTTTATACCTTCAGATACCTTCAGGCCACCTGTACCCTGGGAGCAGAAAAGGTGTAGGAAGGTGAACTGTTTGCCACCCTTCCATCCTTCCTGTCCTCTGAAAGCCATTGTTGTATTTTGGGGTAGCACATGCCAGCTGGGGCGTCCTTACAACCAAACAGATTCAGGAGTGAGCACCTATAGGATTTCCAGGAAGCATCATGGGGAACACAGCATGTTAACAGTGGGCATAAAACGGTGTGGGGGCCGCAGGCATTCTCAGATGTGGCCGGGAGGTGGGAGCCCAGGGTATTTCAGGACACTTGAACACAGGAGGACTTTCTATGGGCTGTGGCTTGTGGTGGGAGCTCAGGCAGGGGGAGGTGGCCAGAGGCTGGGATAAAAGGACTCAGGGGAGGGAGTGGGGGGAGAAGGGAGGGGAGCAGGGCACCGGGCTTCCTGGCTCTGCAGGGCCCAGACTGGGGGAAGAGGGATGTTTCCTGCCAGGGGCTGCCCCACCCTGCCAGACTCTAGCCTGGCACACAGGGCCTCTCCCAGATCAGACATCCAGGTCTTCAGGGCCAGCACCTACCTCCCGTTAGCTGTCCCCATAAAGATGGTGATGGGGGTCAGTGTCTTATTTGAATTTCCCTCCTCCCTGTCAGGAAGTCCCTGTCTATCCTCCCACTTCCCCTCCAGAGTCAGTGGAATTGCCTGGGCAGCAGGGTGGGCTGGGCCAGGAGACCTGATTCCCTCACTGGATTCCCTCTTGCAGGGGTCCCTGGGATGAGGCCACTCATAGCCAGGCTGCGGGAACACATCCCCTTCAGGCTGTCCTCCGAGCCTGTCCTCATTCATCAGAATCACAGCGGAGGCCCCATCTGTCTTTATCTTTCCCTGGGTCGAGAGAGAATTGCTGGAGTCATGCTCTGGGGAGGTTGGGTGTGGAGGCCCCCCAGCCATCAGCGGCTCCTGGAGGCCCAGGCTTTGTGCGTGGGAGTTGGAAGGGAATGGACTTTTTGTCTGGCCTTCTATAGTGACAGATCCAGCCCTTGCTCCTGTCTTGGCCTGGGGCTCTGAGCGGCAGCCCTGTTCCCACACAAGTTGTGTGACAGCCAAGGCTCAGCACCCCCTCCCGCCCCCCACAGTGATAGGCCGAGAAGCATTCTTAACATTCTTTCCACAGAAAAGGGGTGAAACATCTGAATTTGGGGGTCACCATGTTATACAAATTGCAATCTAATCGTTTTTACAAGAACACACTTGCAGTAAGAAAAGGAGCCCGGAGGAGGGGCTGAGGAGACAGACAGCTTGTTTTGTCCCCCAAAGTTTGGGGCTATTGTCAGGCCAAACTCTCTCCCTCCACCAAGAGCAGTTGAGCTAGTTTTCTAGTTAAATTGGGCCTGGGGTGGGGGCCACAAAGGGCCCATGGTGCCATTTCTGTTTGTTTTCCCAAATCAAAGCCCCAGCAGGGCTCCTATGGTACTGCTGGGCCGCTATTTGAAGAGATGGGCCATTTCCCAGAGCCTGGTGTGTCAGTTTATGCTCTGAACTTAACCTCACGGGCACTGCACAACAGAGTCTCAAGGGTCCCTGGCCCAGAGGCAAGAGAAATTGTATCTTTTTATTGGCCCATTTAAAGTGTGTGTGGCCTTTTCTGAGACTCAGAGAAGAGTGCAGCAGAAAGAAACTCCTCAGCCCCTGGACAAGCTGGGTTTGCAGATGAGGGGGTTTCGGGACTTGTCCTGGCCCCCTGGGGCTGGTGCGCACTCTGGCCCTGGGTCTCCCTCTGAGTGAAGAGGTCTGTGTTTCTTATTGCAGGTCCTGAGCATGACACTTTCCAGTGGTTGCCTGGACGCTGGGGCGGGGGCCCAGGTTGGCAGCTTGGTCTTGGGTGTGGCCCTTGCACTGCTGACCCTGCCCAGCCGTGGATGCCCAGCTCTCCTTCCTTCTGAACCCTGGGACCAGGGGTGGGCAGGTAGAGCCATGCTGGGCTTCACGCCCCCAACCCCAATGCCTTTCATCTTCTATTTCAAACAGACAAACATGAAATTACTTCTATAGATTAAAGGGGAGAGCTCCTCAGTCATTCCTGAAGGCCTCACTAATGGAGGGGGCAGGTCCCAAAATCTGGAAGGAGAGGGAGAACCATAGAGCAAAACAGTCCCTGCCCAGTATGGACAAATGTGCATGTGTACCCATGAGAGAAAGGGAGGGACAGCAGCCCCTCTCAGGGCTCTGGCCTGCCGGGGGGTGGGGGCTGGGGGAGTCATGGCTGGTGGCCCATCTGAGAAGGCAGGTCAGTGATCTCTAGGAGATGCTGATGGGGTGGGGGAGGCTTTCCGCCTGATCCCTCTCAGGATCCTTCCTGCTCTCACCCCACACACATAGAGGCTTATCATAGCCCGCAGGAAGGAGGCTGGGGGCGGGGGTGCTGACTTAGGGCCTAAGCCCCACACACACACTGGACAGCAAGTGCTCCTTGCTGGGGGACACCTCACTGTCAGGGCTCAAGGGGAAAGGCAGATTGGGCAGAAAGAGAAGGGAGGTGCAGGGTCAGAATCTGTGTGCTGCGTAAGGACTGGAGCTGAAGGCCGCACTCATGCATGTGACCGGCAGCCTTGTCGGCCTCGAGCCCTTTGCTGAACACTGCTTGGGCACAAGCTAGACTGGCGTGACCACGAAGCCCTCCCCGCTCCGTGCCGGGGCCTCTTGCCCGTGTGTCCAGGGCCTCGCTTCTCCTGTAATGCCATGGAGGGGAGCCCAGCATCTCTTGGGTGAAGCTGAGGAATGGGGCCTGAAGGATGCCCCTCTTAATTCCCCCATCATTCTGCAAACTCACTGCTTCTACCCGTCTCTTAGCCACAGGGATTAGCGGGTGCACTTGATGTTGAGGGGTAGTTGCTAGGGCCAGGAGGCCCCCCTACATGGTTGCTAGGGGTCTGGCATTGGGGTGAGGGGTCTGCCCACTGCCGCGGTCACGGAGGGAATTACACAGTCACAAAGAAATTGTTCTTCTCAGTAATCTGCTCTCGGCCCCGGGAGGGGCGAGGGTGGAGGAGCAGGCTGGAGCCCAGCAGGCTGGGGGCTGTGATCACAGAGGCTGCTCGCCCCGGGCCGGGGGCCAGCCAGGCCGTGAACACCAGGGACCAGCCCGCTAAGCTGCTTTCTCAGCGATTTCTCTCCTCAGACACAAAGGTGTTTACTTGTTTTAACATCTCCTAGGACTCCCCTTCTCCCTTTGTGTGGTCTTTATCCCCAATGAGGTTTGAGCCCCAGATTACAGGCGGGAATTAAGGCATTGGACTCAGGCAGCTCAGAACTGCATGACCTGCAGGATCAAGGAGTATAAAGTAACCAAGTGTGTGTGTGTGTGTGGGGGGGGACTGACCCCTTCAGCAAGGCCCATTCATCGTCCAGAGGAGGAGAGGCTGTGTGGCCGGTGGCCAGCATGCAGGTGTGATTGGGGGGGGGGCACTGCTGGCAGCTGATCGAGGTCTTTAGCCGGGGGGAGGGGCAGGGACTGGGGTGTGAGGGGTGGCAGTCCGGAGCATCTCCTCCCTTGGCCCCCACTTCCTAAGCGAGTCTAATGCTATTGTAGCTCAGGGGAGAGAGTTGCATTTCCTCAGGGACTGGTGCCATTTGGAGGCTCACAGAATCTGTGGGCCAAGGCGGACCACTGCTCATCCTCTGCCCCTCCTCTCTTCCTAGCGGGCAGCTGATGACGCACCTGGGCAGTGACTTTCCCCCAGGGGCTGGGGTGCTGGATGTCATGTATGAGTCCCCGTCCACACTCCTGTCCTGCGGCTACGACACCTATGTTCGCTACTGGGACCTCCGTGCCAGTGTCAGGTGAGCATGCTGGGCAGGAGAACAGGTGGTGGGACCCTGTGTCAGCCCCAGCCTCCCTCGTCCTGAGGGACCATGGGAGAGGACACAGGTGCTCCATGTCAGGGGCTGGTAGGGACTGGCTGGTAAGGTCAGATCAATCGTAGACTCCTCACCTTGGGCCGCCTCGGCCCCATGACCCAGGAAACCATAGCCACCAGGCCGATAAAAGCCTTGGGAACCCTCGGTATGCCACCCCTCAGCATTCTGTCCCCGCCTTTCTACCTCTCAGGCTTTTTAAGTTCTTTGACACGTAGTCAGCTGTGTGAAACCCAAATCTGCCCTGGGGTCTGGCGTTTGGCAAGAAAGAGGCTTTTACTGAGGAGGCTTTCCTGCATTAAGGCTGGTTTTTAAAGACTTTGGTGATTCAGTTTGTCTCTATCCCAGCCCGAATGGGGAAGTTGGGGGGGGGGTGGCAAGGTGGAGGACACCCCTGAAGCTTCCCCGGCATCTCCTCTTCCTGGATAGGAAGTGTGTCATGGAGTGGGAGGAGCCCCACGACAGCACCCTGTACTGCTTGCAGACTGATGGCAACCACTTGCTGGCCACTGGTTCCTCCTACTATGGTGTTGTGCGTCTGTGGGACCGGCGCCAACGGGCCTGCCTACACGTAAGCGTCCTGCCCACCTCACGCCTCCAGGAAGCCAGGCCTCATTTTTATGGGCCGCACCTGGGAGTGGGTGTGCCTGGAGAGGGAGGGAGGAAGCCTATAGTGGCATCTGGCCCATTGCACTGGGCCTGGGAATCCTGGGTTCGGGCTCCCCCATCTCCTACTCGGGCCCTCTCGCCATTTTTGTGTCCTTCCTTGCAGGCCTTCCCGCTGACATCGACGCCCCTCAGCAGTCCTGTGTACTGCCTGCGCTTCACCACCAAACATCTCTATGCCGCGCTGTCTTATAACCTCCACGTCCTGGACTTTCAAAACCCGTGACAGTCAGGGCCGCCCCAGCCTGTGGGCCAGGGAAGCCAGCTTCTCAGGGACCTCTCCTGCCTGGATGGTGCAGTGATACCTCTTCCCCACCCCTGTGCCTGTGCTCCCAGACCTGTGACCACAGTGCTCAAGCCCTTACGCTAAAGGCTGCAAACTCCTGGGGACTGGGTTACCCAGAGGTGCAGTCCCTCCCAGGAACCAGTTGGAGAGAAGCGACCTTTGCTTGGGGAGAATGCAGCCAAACCCACGGGGCCTTGCTTCCCTGTCGGCCAGAGCAAGGATGTGCCTGGAGAGGCCCACCATGCACCCCGCCTCTTAGAGCAGTGATTGCTTAGTGAGGTAAGGCGCCCCAGCCTTTTCAGTGGTCCCTTTCTGCCCTTTCCCTGGAAGGAGGGGTGAGGCTGCCCGTATCCCTGCTGGCACCAGCCTCCACCTCCTCAGTCAGACACCACCCTTGACCAAGCTCTTGGGGTTGTGGACTCATTCTTGGGGCACTGTGGCTTGGTCTCACTTTGAAACCAAGAAAGGACAAAGGGAACCCAGCAGTTTTGAGTGAGTTTTGAGGCAACCCAGCCTCAGGCCAGCTGTTGAGATATGCTACAATGTTTGTTTTTGTAAAAATAAAGCTTAATTGTTCACAGATCTGGTTCCTCACTGACTGCGGAGTCCTGGGAAGTCCCAGGGCGAGGGGACAGCAGTCAAATTTGGAGATATGCATGCTGGGCCAAGGGTAAGACCAGCCGCATGATCAGTGTCCCAAAGTACAAAGGTTTCTTTTCTTTGGGAAAACCTCTCAGTGACCACCCAGCCCTGTGGCTCTGGTGGTAGTGTATGTCACCTGTGGGGTATGGAGAGGGGATCATGGAAGGGCTCCAGGCTGCCAGGGCCAAGCTGCTGTCCATCTGTGGTGACCCTTCTTCACTTGACCCCAACACACACACACTCTTCACTCTTATTCTGGCTTTTCACCCAGTGTCTTCCCATCCTGGGCTGTTACCAAGGTTTCTGCATTTTTAAATAAAAACTTCTTCCTCACCCACCCTTATCTTAGGGAATTACTCTGGGCCACTTCCGCGAGCTAAGGAAGCACAGGCTCCCTCTCAGCCTAGCTGTTTTCCGAGTTTAGGCAAACAGGTGGGGGAAGACCTCGGCCCTGTCTGCTAGGGTCAGGGTTCCCCCACCCTCTTCACCAAGGCCCATGCCTCCCTATATAGGGAAGGCTTTGTGTGGCAGGTCCCTAGGACAGAGAAGGGAATGTTGCCACCAGCACCCTCCCAGGGGACAGGCGCACACAGAAGTGGACAAGAAGGCAGTCTATCTACAGTGACTCAGCATGACTTTACTCAGGAGAGAAGACCATGAGGCAGGGGGCCAAGAGTGCCCCAGGCCCAGTTCTTACGGAGCCTGGAAGGAAGGGAGTGTCCCTGTGCCAGAAAGGCCCAGGCCTTCCAGTCTCAGACTGACAGGAAGAGCCTCACCCACTCTCCACACCGGAAGCGCAGGCTCAGGAGTCCACTACTGGGTCTTGCAGTCCCCGTCACTGCTGTGGGCCGTCTTTACCTTCTTCAGCTCCTTCTGCAGCTCTGCCTCAGCCAGCAGGACCTCCTTTGGCTTCTGGTACTGTAGATGAAGCCAGGAAGAGGACCTAATTCAGTTACGTCCCCCCTCCATACACATACACACACCCCACACCCAGACACACCCCCAGACAAACCCCCCACACACCCCCAAACACACCTCCACACCCTACACACACACCCAGACACACCCCCCACAC